TATATATATATATATATAAATATATATATCTTGATTTATATATATCTTTTTGGATGCTTATTGTAATATTGATATAATGTAAAATAGCGGTCCTTACACGCGTATAACTTTTATCTTATACTAGAATTAACAAGTTCGCTAACGAAGCTTGAATACATGAGAAGCTTGGTTCTTTCTTTCTATAATATATTAGTTGATTGCGTAGTAATGGTGTACTATTAATTGCATGTAATGAAGTAAGTACATGGCACGCGAGAGTATATCATGAAATGTGATTGTATGAAATTATCTTATGAAATGTTTTTGTAATAAAATATAGCTCTATAAACTTTCATTAGTAATTGACTTTAGCATCGTAGTGAGATTCCTCTTCTAGGCCTGGAAATATGGTATATCTGAATAGTTTTACGTAGTAACGATCATTAAAAGAAATTCCGTGTTAATCTAATAAAATTCAGCAATATGAAAAAATAAAAACGCTTTTAAATAATATTGTCGCTAATATTGTCGTTTATATATCGGTTAAAAAATCATTTCTGTTTTATTATAAAAATATATATAATATAAATCTTTGATTCATGAATCTTTCAATTCTTCAATCAATTCTTTCTATTTAAAATATCTCAATATTTTTTAAAATAATTTACAATTGATTTTAATTGAAGTAGAAAAAATTCTAATGTTTCATTCTTCCCTTTATTTTAATCGACTTTCTCTCAGAGCAATGACTCCAGTGAGGAGACAGTACATCGCAGCAATATTACTGCGGACCCGAGTCCTTCTGAAGTTACCACCGACAACGAAAACAAGCATAATTCTTCGGAAGAAGCCTGGACAGATGTAAATCTTAATGAAGATGGTGATACGATACCTGTTACAAATCCAAGAGAAGATCCGCGTAATATCCACAATATTGCACACTCGCGTGGTAAGAGTCAAATCAGTTATGGTACCATCACTTGTGATTGATAATACAGTTCATAAGATTCTGTTTCTCAACACGAAAGTAAAAAGTTCTTACAAGTTTTGAGAAATTAAAGACTATTATTTTTAAGAAACACTACAAATTTAAATTCGTTTTTTATAACTTTTTAAAATACAAAAATCGCAATTCAAATATTGAAAAATAGAAAGCTTATAAATTAGTGTAATTTTTTGACATTAAATATTACTTATTAATAAATTTTATTTTTTTTAATCACTTTACAACTTTATCCTTGTGTAAAAGGAGCTTTATATCTAATATTTATTTTCATGTATTGTAAAAAAATATTTAAATTTTTTATAATTATATTACGAATTTACATTATTACATATGAAATTGAAAACAAATTTTTAAGAATTAAAAAGTGATTGAATTTTTTGGAGAGCATAATCCTTTTTTTAATAAAAAGTTTTGCAAGGAACACTTATTACTTGTTGAGAAACAAAATTGTTGATCAAAATTTGTTGTTCAATATAATTATTCTCATTCCAAGAATCTTCTTGCTACTTGATAAGTAAAGCAAGATATATTCTAAAATACAGGCGACATGCAAGACAGCGAAGGCAACGTTCTCGAACAAGAAATGCTCGGCAATGCAGAACGCGGGGAGAAACCGTCAGCGGAAATCTCTGTGGTACGAGTTCCTGATCGGTTGGTAGTAACCGCAGCATCCCCGAGGGCCGATGAATTACCAATCAAAGGTCTGGTTGATCATTTACCTGTACCAACACCTTCCCGCGAAGCCTCTCTCACGCAAAAGCTGGAAATGGCTTTGGGTTCAGTTTGCCCCCTCCTTCGAGAGATCATGGTGGATTTTGCTCCCTTCCTGTCCAAAACACTTGTTGGCTCCCATGGTCAAGAGTTGTTAATGGAAGGAAAAGGTACGAGCTGCAAGGGTACGTCGAACGTACAATCATTCTTCTATGTTCGATGTTTGCATGTTGTATATGAATCCATTAAGGAAACGTTACGAGCAAGCCAAGACAAATTTTCTTTTCGAATATCATTTTCTTCAAATATTATTTGATATATATGTATGTGTGTATGTGTGATTTTAGAATAGTCTCTATATAAATTGCGCTATAAACACACCGTAGTTTCATTATATACGCGCTTATGGAATCCGTAAAAGGAAATCACAGCTCTCACATTCCACATTTTACGCGCGCGTAATATGATATAGAATGTTTGAGGCTCGATAAATAAAAAGGATATATTTCACGTTGGACTTTATTACACGGAGAACAGTCATAGTATGGTCTATGTTTTCTAAGCGATGTCGAGATATATCACGTCCACGAATAAAAAAAAATAAAGAATTAAGGAACTAAAACTCAGCATAGTTACATAGACATATTTTCCGAAATAATAAATAAAATTATTCTTTGTTGTTTCTCGTTATATTTTATTGCGGTAAAATGTTTATTGTAAATGTGCATATTTAACATATTGCCAAAATGCTCCATTTTTTTTAATACTTTTATTATTGTCTCTTTTTCTAAACGTTGTACATTATTTTGAATAAATTTATTGTTCAATTCGTAAACATGTATATGACAAACTAATGTTCATCATTAAATATTCCGAAATTGATATATTATGGGCGCTTTAAAAGATAAAATAGTGATCATAAAAATAAAAATTCAACAATGTTGTACGTGTAAAATATTTAAAATCGTATATTTAGATATGCTCGCATGATAAATAAAAATTTAGAGTCTTTTTAAATGGGCATACTTGGCGGGACTTTCGTCACTTTTATGGTATTTCTATCTCTGGTATTTCACACCGAGTATTCAAATTAGTCACTTTATGATTTCGCTTTAGGAAGATGGTCAGCGTATTCTAAGTAATCACTCATCATTAGTATTCAGCATGCGCATAGAGACTACGATGATTCTCGCAGATTTTATATTCAAGGAACGTGGCGTTTGATGGAGTTTTGCAACGATCGATGTACTTTATTTTTAACAATATCCGCAATACACTATATGGTCTTGGTAGAACACGACACTGTTCGTTTCTTCCGTTTAACAGTCATTGTTATTCACTGTTTATCGTTCGTTCGTTTAACGATTCCCTGTCTGTAATTTGCCAGGTTTAACTACATTTAAGAACAGCAACTCCGTCGTAGAATTGGTTATGCTCCTCTGCTCTCAAGAATGGCAAAACTCTCTGCAAAAGCACGCAGGTCTCGCTTTCATCGAGCTCATTAACGAAGGAAGGTAAGACGTTTATTATACGGCTAGGTGCGCAAACAAAACAAAATCAAACTTTCTCGTTTCCTTTCATGAAAATGCTTCCTTGCGTTACACAGGCTGCTATCTCACGCGATGAAGGATCACATAGTAAGAGTCGCAAATGAAGCAGAGTTCATTTTAAACAGGATGAGAGCGGATGACGTGCTGAAGCATGCTGACTTTGAGGTATTGCATGCATTTCTTCCGGCGATTTCATTGCCCTGTAAATAGAATCGACCAGTTTTTGTCGCCAGATCATTTTCGCGAGTCATTTAATACCGATACAACAATCCTTCTGAAGTAGATTGTTATAATCCAATACTATATAAAAAATACATTAATAATACATTAATATTATATTATATTAATAATACATACTTCTTTCTTGATGTTTAGTCACAATGCGCGCAAACACTATTGGACCGTCGGGAAGAAGAACGCATGTGCGATCATCTAATCACCGCAGCACGAAGACGTGATAATGTTATCGCTAGCAGGCTTCTGGAGAAAGTCAGAAATATTTTGTCTAACAAGCACGGCGCATGGGGATACATGGATCCAATGGCTGCAAAGTGAGCGCAACGTTTTAAATTGATTTTATATTGCACATAATTGTATTCTGTATACATATCATATTATTTACCTGTTATTGCTATTTACAGATTAGCCGAATACTGGAAACTAGATGCTTGGGAGGATGATGCACGTAGACGCAAGCGTTTCGTGCACAATCCACTAGGCTCGAGCCACCCCGAGGCTACTCTCAAGGCGGCTCTAGAACACGGTGCACCCGAGGATGCGATACTTCAAGCGCGTGAAGAGTTTCACGCGCATCTCGCAGCCTCGCGTGCACACCAACAGCAATTGCAGTCGGCGGATCTCCTGGATGACAGTGAATTACTGACGGACGACAGGGATCTCGACAACGACTTGACAGGTTGGTCGGCGTTGCTTGATAAACGAGACCTGACATTTTAATGGCATATTATTGACCGCGCAAACCGGTTTTATTTTCGTCAATTTCATTGAAATCGTTATTTAAGTATCGGTTAATTGTCATCTATTAGTTTAATTTTCTGCATTTAATTTCCAATTTCTATGCGTTGTATATTACAAAACAAGCATACCGATAATTTGTAGTATGCATGAGTTTAAAATAAAATAAGAAACACAAATAAGTAAGCGTCAAAATAGTCGAGATCTGGATCTTGGCGTTTAATAATGTATGTAAATTTTTTAATACATCTTCCAATTATATAAAAATGAGGAAAACTCCATCACGTTTAAATAAAAAAAAATTGCATGTATAGGCAGGTAATATGTTATTATTTTATTGGGGTGCTGTTTATACGTATGCTGACTGATTATTCGTGTTTTATCAGGTCCAGTGAATATTAGCACGAAAGGCAAATTAATCGCACCCGGTATCGTGGCGCCCGGCATCATTTCCGTTACATCTACAGAGCTGTATTTCGAGGTGGACGAGGATGATACGGAATTCAAAAAAATCGACAGTGAGGTGAGTACTTAAATTAAAACATATATAGAAGGACATGATAAAAAGATACTACGTCTTTGTCACAATATGCGTTATTTATATAATCTTCGACAATTAGTTGCTTTATCTTGTCTTCTCTTCATTAAGATAGACTATATGTATTTGGAGCATTCGGTGTTATCTATTTGAAATATAGTCGCCAGTTTTCTTGGCGATAAAACTGTTGTTTTAATGAAAAACCAAATTGTCAAGAAAGAGACCAAAATTAAATTTATATTTATATTTTCTTATGAGGCTAAAGAAGCTAAAAAGCATTCAATAGAAGCACTAATTCTGTGACATGTTCAATTACTTAATTTTGTAATCAATATTTGCAATCAGTATTGCATTATTATTTTCTAATTTCTTTCAATTCGCTTTTATCATTTATCGCAAATGCATCTTTATCAGCGTGCATTTAACACTGCGGCTAAAATGTGTGCGCTAATAGCGTATACCCATTATTTACATATTAAATGTTTGAGGTAATATTTTATGCTGGCCTCTCTTAAACTGACGAACGCGAAAGCCTAAGGTAGCCGCTCATAACGAAGAATATCAATCATTTCAACCGACATAGAATTTGAATAAGTGTACGTCGTAAATGATGAGACGTGGCGAAAGCTTCCACCGCTAGTGGAGATTCTGGCTAGAATTAGTTCGGACGTGTCCCTGTCTATCAGTGTCCACCTTTTATTCGTGAAGCTTTCACAATTAAAAAAAAAATGAAAAGAAAGCCGAGATGAAACTGAGAGAAAAATCGAGAGAAAGAAAGAGAAAGAACGAGAGAGGAAGGTGAACTGGAAGAAGTAGAAGGACGATTATCATATATCGGTCGTAGATCTCGCGTTTGTATAACTAGGGAATAAAACAAACAGAGAAGGGCCCCATGGGGTCGACCGATCTTCAGGGTCGGCAATTATGAGCCCCCCGTGGGGCCCGGTATCTGCCCGCTCTTCTGTCTCTCTTCCTCTCTATCTTCCATCGCTTTGCCACGCACTATGTATCGGTGGCACAAGGTGAACAAGCTTCTCACAAGAATGTACTAAAATTACCGCATTTTCCCACCTAGTCGATGAACATCATTCAGGAAAGTATGCCTAGCGCGATAAACAAAATTTGTAGTATCCATACTGAGAAAAAAAATTTCTGATATCCCAACAAGAAAAACAAACAAAATAAATTTTGATCACATGAATCAGAATTCTGATTATCGCAATTGAATTTCTAGTTATTTCTACTAGAATATTTGATAGTTTTAATTATCTTATAATTACATATAATGTTTCTATAATGTGATATAAATATTATGTATCCTTTTTATATAATATTTATATAATATTTTAAGAATATTGTGTCTTGTATAAGCGTTTAACTTACACTAGTTACTGTCTAGTTGAATCTAATAAATATCACAAGATTTTTTTCAGTTACGCCTCGATGATGTAAATTAATAATTAAATAATTTTACCCGATAAGTTCGATCATCTTGTAAACGATCATTAATTTCCTCGAATTGTGCTATTATAATAACGAAATTTTTTATTGTCTGTAAATTTATATCATGATGTCACAAATTTTATCAATTCCATGGATCAGTCTCTTTTAACGCCTGCCGCGACGTTCCTCGTTAGCTAATAAATAAAATATATTCGTTCTCCGCGCGAGAGACTCAGTTATCGCTCGCCGATCGTATCTCTGTGTTTCTCAGGGATATGCACAAGGATTTCGCAGTGTCCACCTGTCGTCTCCGTTATATCTTGACCGACGGACTTGCTTATGAATAGAACGTACGAACTCATTCGGACTCTCTTAATTGGAATCCTTTTTAAGAAAGAAGCTGAGCGCACCTGGACGCGAAGAGGGAAATAGCGCGAGAAGTGAAGAAAGACAGGCAGATAGATAGAAGCAAAGGAGAAAGGAAGCAGAGATGAGGAGGCAAGGCGAGAGGAAGAATAAGAGAGAGAGAGAGAGAGAGAGGGGGGGGGATGAGAAAGAAGAAGAGAGAGACCGGTCGTTCACGATCGAGACACGCTCATTAGTCGAGGATGTCCTGAGGGTAAGCGGGAGGTTTCGTTGAATTCGTAGGCGATGGATCACTCGATAGTCGAGCCGAGACTTAAGCGATCGTAATGCGCGGCCGCAGAAGAGGATGCACCCAGGAGTGACCTCAGGGAAGAACTGCATATCGGGCTGCGCGCCGCTGCACCCTTTTGTGCGTATCTCTCCTCATGAGTCTCCTCCACCGCCGATCGCGCCGATTTCTCCCTTCTTCCTCCTTCACCTTTTATAATGGCCCAGGCAAACGTATTTATCGTGATTTATCGTTTACACGGGTTTCTTCTCCCGCCCCACACTGTTCCTCTTTTCTCTCTCTTTCTCTTTTTCTCTCTTTCTCTCTTTCTGTCTGTCCCACAATGCCATATGTTAAAGATAGAGGATGCACACCGTGCGATTACGTCGAGAATGAATTATTGATAGTCCGCATGAGGCATTTAATATCTAAAACAAATAATCAACGATATGGCCGTTCTTTTGCAAATGTACTTTTCGTCTCTAATTTGATGAAGAAACCATATATGCTCTTCTTCTGCAGATTAAATACTGAATCGCAAAGTCCTTGCAGCCATTCGTAAATTAATTAACGGTTATTTATATTGCGTATCGTATGTGAGATTTATGTCACATAATTGCTCGTGATGATACGTAATAACGATGCGCTGTCGTCGCGACTTGCATACGCTGAAAATTGAGTCGCCACTTGGATTATTCTTAGAGACAGCAAAACGTACGTGAAGTACGGTCGTAAAATAAATAATCAATTTCCTGAGTTTCTTATTAGCATTCATCAAGGTAGAAAGCTATAGAACGCTTATGTTTGTAAGATGTACACATGTATGTAAGATGTACAATGTATATTCAAGGTAAAAAAGAATGTTGCTGAAAATTTAGCTAGATACATTTCTAAAAATAATTTTGTTTGGACCATCGATAATTATTATATAGGACAATCAAACTGGTTAAAAAATCGTTAAAATTTTTTGCAACATTATTATTATCAATGTTTAATCGTCCTATACATAATTATTTTAATGATCCAACAAAATTGCTTTAAAATTTATATCTATCTAAATTTTTAAACACTTCAGTAAACCGTTCCTTCCGTCACAATAGAAAGTCGACACTACCGCTTTTAAAGTATGAATATATCTTACTATATATTAGCGCGCAATGCAATAATCTTCAAAAAGTTAATCGTTAATTTCTGTTTTTACGTCGTTTTATATTTTTCGAATTTTGGAGGAGAAAAAGCAGATCAGGTTTCACAAACCTAACAGCTTGTTGCCTTAGCTTCAGAGGGTAGGTCACACGGGACATTAAACTCCGCGGCTCGAGAGACTCGCATTTTTATGGAAACCTGCTCTGTGGCGCCTAAAGTTCCCTTCCTGTGGTATAGTTATCGCAGACACATGCTGCGAATATCCTTGTGGGATGTCCAATGTTGAAAAAAGAGAGAAAGAGAGAGAAGGAGATAGTGAGAAAATGGGAGAAAGAGGATCGAGGGATACCAACCGGACAGGTGGTCTGTGCCATACGTTGGTGCTCGTTCGCGACGAAGATACCATTAACGAGGGATACAGCGCCGCGAAAAATACGTCCGAGACATCAAACCGTTTATCAATGATTGCAAATACAAACTGCCTCGTAGATTATACGGTGTTAGAGATTTCCAAGTTCGTAGTTAGTGGTATTTCTCGCTGCAATTCACTTCACACTCGGGATTATTAATATCGGCGTGTTATTCGTACATAAATATACATTGTGCAGGCGATTGTGTAATCGATACGGATCTCTTTGTAAGATAACGATATGAAAAGAACTTTCTATCGGGAGCGTACACGTTTATATATGAAAGACTAAACGAGAATGACAGGAGGGCGGATTGTGACCGAGCACCGGTTTAATGTTATGCGATTACGGCCTTCTTAGGTAATACATATGCATGACATCGGTGTAATATAGTGCGAGTGACGTTATAATAATACGACTGTAATTATTCCGCGCCTCGATCCGCGGTATCTCGTGATAATATTACAAAGATTGTCCACCTCACTTTAACTACCAGCCATCGAATACGCGACCGTATCTTATCACAATTATTCCATCGCATTATTCTTGCATCTTGCGATTATAAACACGTGTCGATAAATAATAAAGCCTGTCAGCTACTCTTGCAATCAGATTGCCGTGCGATACGTGGTTTCTTCGATAAAGAGACGCGTTTTTCCTCTCCCGAAGCGCGATGCGTCTATGCTCGCTCTTTGAATTATGTATCATGTATTCCGGAATAATAATTCACGTCAAGTTTGATGAATAAGCATATAACTCTTGATCGGATCTAATTTCTTCTGCTTGCGTATATATCATCCGTGTTATTATTAATAAAAACGAGAGGCAATAATTACTCTTCCAACAGTTTCATTGTGCATTTTCTGCTAAAGGCACGAGGATCATGGTGCACGAGCGCGTATCTAGATGTGAATTTGCATATCCCACATAATTTAATCGATTCACGATTTCGATGGGACTCGACGTTGCCGATGACCAGGTAGCCGATGACCAGAGGGGTAGTCTGCGCGAAAAGGATGCAGTTAGTTTGGTAAACATCCATCAATTCATGGGCAGGGCAGCGCGAAGAAGAGTACGGGGCAGAACCTGAAGAGCAGGCAAGCTGGAAAGGAAGGAGCAGGCGGGCTCATTCTCAACAAGGCAGGGGTAATCACTGCTATTAGTGCGGACATTACTCCGGTGGTCCGCCAATCTCCGTAACACTTCATCATATCGGTGCCTCAAGGCTCTTCTATGGTGTAGAAAATGGATTTTCCTGCAGATTTCAATCGTGCAATATTTTACACCCGCGTAAAATACTTTTAATCGGGAAAAAGATGACTTGATCCAAAAATAATCATAATTTATTACTG